TGTAATAGCTAATACACTTTTTAAGCTACCAAAAAGAAGGTTGTATACATGGAAATCTCCCGGTGATGCAACGAATAGAATAATCCGAAATCAAATTGACTTTGTCCTTATTAGACAAAGATTTCGTAATTCGATACTGTCTGCCAAAACTTACCCTGGAGCAGACATCGGTTCAGACCATAACCCCATAGTAGTCACATTACGAACCAAATTAAAACTGGTTAAAAAACCCACACAAAGTAGAATTGATATTAAGAGATTAAGGGAACCACAAACAAAGGAACAAACTGTAAAAACTCTTACTGAAAATATACGTAATGCCCAAGAACTGAATAAAAGTAGCTATAACATTGATCAGAAATGGGAAAATATAAAAGCAGCAATAATTAAAACAGCAAATGAAAACTTAAAACCAAAGAATAGAAAACATAAAGATTGGATGACTGAAGAAATACTACTATTAATGAATGAAAGAAAATCATTCAAAACAAAAAATCCAATTAAATATAATGAAACTGATCGATTAATAAAAAAGAAAATAAAAGAAGCTAAGGAGAGAATGTTACATGAGCAGTGCCAAGAACTAGAAGAAATTGAGAAAAAATATGACTTTTTTAACATGCATAAAAGAATTAGAGAATTAACAGGAATGAGAAAAACACTTCAAACTAGGCAACTAAGAGATGAAAGGGGTGCACTTATAACAGATATAAACCAAAAAATGCAGAGATGGACACAATATATAGCACAACTATTTGAAGACAAAGAGAGAACAGAAGCACCAAAAGAATTTAAGGATGATACTGGGCCTGACATTATACGAGAAGAAATTGAATATGCAATGAAACAAGCTAAAGATGGTAAATCTCCCGGGCCTGATGAAGTTCCTATCGAATTACTTCAAATTGTGAATACTGAATCTATTGATCTTCTTTTGGATCTATTCAATACCATATATAGAACAGGTATAATACCTAAAGAATGGCTCCAATCAACATTCATACTGCTTCCCAAAAAAGCCAATGCAAAGGAGTGCAATGAACATCGCACCATAGCCTTAATGAGTCATGTTTTGAAATTGTTTTTAAAAGTAATTCACAATAGAATACATAAGAAATTAGATGAAGGCATAAGTAATACACAAATGGGATTTAGGAAAGGACTGGGAACACGAGATGCACTGTTTGCAATAAGTGTTCTTTCGCAGAGATGCTTAGATATTAATCAGGAAGTATATGCCTGTTTCATTGATTTTGAGAAGGCATTTGACAGAGTGCAACATAATCGACTTAAAGAAATTTTATTAAATAAAAACATAGACAGTAGAGACATTAGAATCATCTGTAACCTCTATTGGAATCAAACAGCAAAAGTGAAAGTTGAAAACGAACTGACCAAGGATATCCAGATTCGCCGTGGGGTCCGCCAAGGGTGTATTTTATCACCCTTGTTATTCAATTTATACAGTGAAGCCATCTCAGAATTAGCGCTTGCCGAGATCAGTGAGGGCCTTATAATAAACGGTGAGCCACTTAATAACATAAGATATGCTGACGACACCGTCCTTTTGGCAGGAACACTAGAAGAACTGCAACACCTTGCTGAACAACTAAATATATATTGCAACGATTATGGACTAAAAATCAATTTGAAGAAAACAAAATTCATGGTATTTACAAAAGCACAAAACATCAAAGTTAAGCTAGTACTAGACAATACAGAAATTGAACAAATATCTTCGTACAAATACCTTGGAGCATGGATCACAGAAGATACTGATCAGACAAAAGAAATAAGATGCCGCATTGAAATTGCGCGGTCAACTTTTAATAGAATGAGAAAACTTTTTTGTAATCGCGATATCAATATATCGCTCCGGATAAGAATGCTTCGATGTTATATTTTCTCTACCCTTTTGTATGGAGTTGAAGCTTGGACACTTAAAAAATCCAACATTAAAAACCTAGAAGCATTCGAAATGTGGTGTTACCGACGCATTTTGAAAATATCATGGATGGATCGCAAAACAAACGAACAAGTTCTCGAACAACTAGGAAAACAATGCGAAGTTTTAAATTCCATAAAAATCAGGAAATTGGAATACTTGGGGCACATCATGAGAGGTGAAAAGTACGAACTACTAAGGAATATAATGCAGGGTAAAATCAAAGGTAGAAGAAGCGTAGGAAGACGTAAAATCTCGTGGCTACGCAATCTCCGTGAGTGGTTTGGATGCAGTTCAATTGAACTATTCAGGCGAGTAACCAATAAAATTATAATTGCCAGAATGATTTCCAATCTCCGATAGGAGTGGAACTTGAAGAAGAAGAAGAAGGGAAAAGCACAGCATTCCAATGATCAACGCCCCAATTAAGATATTCGCGAGCGAAGTGTAAACATTGCCTCCGATGATCTGCTGTTAACAGACGTCCAGTGACATGTATTCTGGACCTTAATCCACATTCATTTAAGCGTCTTCGAACAGTATAAACGGAAACTGTATTTCTATGGACATCATTTAATAGTTGAATGCGTACTAATGCTGATAATGTACGATCGCGTAACGCTTGTAACCTAAGAAAGTGATCTTCAACTTGACTTGTGGTTCTTCAACTACCTTGACCTGACCTCCTGGTGTATTGTCCTGTTTCCCGAAATCTATGTATTGCATCAAACACTGTACTTCGAGAAATTTCTAAAGCATTTGGGATGTAACGAATTCTCCGTCCATCATCATGTAAAACAACAGCTTATGCTACTTCTTGTGTTTTTTTAATTTTTTTATTTAATAAAATACTAACAGGAATCTTATAATTATTGCTATCTGATTATTACTATGATCAATAAGCAAGTTAGTTCTATATACAAAATTTTACAAAAACGAAAAGGTTACGTTCAATAATATTCCTTAGACTCTAAGCTTCAAGCTCTAACATTATTACATATCACTAGGTGTTGTCTAGGAGTTTGATGGCCTCGACATTCACGTGGTTGGAGAGCCTTTGTTCATGACTTTGGGCAAACTTACTTATTATCTGGTTAATCCATCTGGAAGTCTCGATGAAGATCAGAGTTTCTGAAGTACCATGGAGCGTTAACGATGTTCCTTAATACTTTATTCTGATATAGTTGTATAATTTTTATGTTACTTACTTTTATATAGCCCCATAGCTATATCCCATATGTCCATAACAGTTACAGGGCTTGCTTATACAATATCAATTTGTTATTAGTACACATAGTGGATTATTTTTCCATCAACTAGTACATCTTTCTGAACTTAATTTCTAATTCCTTCTTTTTTTCTTAATATGTGCTTTTCAACGTAGCTTGGAATCTAATGTCATACCCAAATATTTTGCTGTATTTGGATAAGGTATTTGGTTTCTATTTATACTAACTCTGATATGTTGTTTACTTTTGTTAGTAAAATTGACATGAATTTGATACGTCATCGCCTAGTCCAGATGTTAATTTGTTCAACAGCGTTCTGTAGCATGGTTGCTGCATCGTCGTAGTTTTATCCGACTGCTAGAATGCATGTGTCGTCTGCAAATTTTGCAATTGTGTTAGGTCCTAATGATGGAATATTGTTGGTATAGAGCAAGTATAGCACTGGAACCAGGACAGTTCCTTGTGGAACTCCAGCTTTAACTTCTTCTAATTCTGAATATGCTTCCTCATGTTTAACTCGACATAATATTGTTTTGGTAAGTAGCCTCTCATTTTATAATATTATCCGTCATGCCACATCTTGTCAAAAGCCTGTGCTACATCGAGAAAAATTGCGGAACAGACTTTTCCTTCTTCTAGAGCTTTTTCTACTCTGTTATTCTATGCATCTGATATAGAGTGGCTTGCTCTAAACCCAAACTGATGATTAGGAATTCGATTTTGTTCCTCTATAATCGGTTTTAGTCTCTTCAAAAGTAATTTTTCGAATAATTTAGATATGACAAGTAACAGTAAAATAGGCCTATATGAAGAAGCTCCTTGTGGAGGTTTTCCTGACATTCTGTGGATTCTGTAAGATTGACCTTTTTAATCGTTTGGTAGCCTTTCACAATGAGTAAGTAGTAGCGCTATCATTTGATAGTTGTAGTAGTAGTTTTATCAACTGGTACTCTAGACTGATGCCACTTGCGTCTCAGTTTTCTTTTTTCGGTTATCATTTCTCTGATTTCTTTCGGATAATCATTTCCTTTTATTCTTTCGACACCGTTCTTGCTTTTGTTCCAAGCAGCTTGTTGTACATTTTTATTGAGTAATTCTACTTCTGCCTCTAGTTGATCAACGGTTCTTCTGGTGGATCAACTTCTTCTGGTGTCATAATTTTTTTAAAGCAAGTATTAAATAGGAGACAATATAAAAAGCTATAGCCGAACTTATAATCAGGAACAGTACCACAATAACCTTAAATTAATACTAAGCCACTATTTCATATCAATAAAATGTATGTATACAAACAATTACCATAATAATTAAATGACGTTTGAGAAACGTCAACGCTTCACCAAAATAAAATTAAAACTAAATAAGATTAAATAAAATTAATAAGTTTTTTCCAATATAAAAAATGAAGAAAACATATTCTTAAGAACATATTGTTGCCATCAGTGGTCCAGAAATTCTCCAATAACAACTTCATATTTCAGCATTACAATTTACTGGTGCATACGAGTAGAACAAATTGTTCGAAAATAGCTTCAAGAAACTTCTTAATGTTAATGTTATTCCGAGGCCTTCCCGGAGTCCAAACCTTAACACCATCGAAAATGTGTGGACAAACTTGACAAAACAATTAAATAAAAGAAACCTTAGGACACTGAATGTAATCAAAATAAGGTTTTTAAATGGTAATAAAGGTCACTTTGACGTAAAATGTCCATTTAAACAACGTAACAATTTAAACAATAATATGTACCACTAGATATGGCTATACAACATCAATAATCCTATGTAAGATTTTTTACAATGTAAATGATATAATTATAACTTACTTGGCATAAAATAGTTTACACATCCACAGTGGTACAATGTGTAGTTAGTTAGACACTCCAGTTGACAGTTTTTGCCCGTATATAGTTTAAAATACCTTAATTTCTTTTCAGTTGGAAAGAAGCATTCCCTCTTATATGGATTGTATAGTTGTACTGAGCTATCTGTGGTTATCATATCTGGGCGAATAGAGGCAAGAACAACTTCGTTTAAAGGAACCTAAATCATAATTAAAATAGTCATATAAAAAGGTTCTAAATCTATTTGCTTCTATAGTTGCAAAAGTTCCTTATATGGAGTTTTGAAAAATATCACTATCTAAAAAGCAAAGAAAGTTGTTACAAATAAAATAGATAGAATCATGACAGACGAAATAACTGATTTCCAAATGGGTTTTAAAAATTAAATTAAAAAAATAGGAATGAAAAATAGCACTTTTTACCAGTGTTAAATAATTACAAATTTATATTGGAAGCAAACAACATTAGTTTTATTAGATGGTATAGAATCACAGGCTCTCAATATTAAAAGAGGAGTGCGGCAGGGATGCCTCTTGTCACGTCGTTTTTCAACGTTTACTCCGAAAGAATTTTCAGAAAAGCACTTTCTGAAAAACAAAAAAGAAATTGTGAACGGTGAAGAAGATTAATTTCAAGTATGCCACAACGTTGTTTACATGTTATAAGAGCTTATAGGAGGCAATACGTCTTAATAAATTATCATTACTTTTGATTTTTATTTTTTTATTCAATGCTGTTTGTGCGCTTACTTCTAATTTATAAAATAAATTAAATAAAAACTTTGTTTTTTGTACCGGGTGGTGCAATAAGCCGATCTCTCGGCTATATATCAGAAACTATTCATGTTATAACTTTAGGAAAAAAAATTCCTTGGTAAAAGTGGCCATGAGAAATCGCTGGAAATAACTTTCAAGATTCTGGATTAACCGCTAGGGGGCGTAACCTGCGAAGAAAATTTTGAAAACCAGTGTTTTGGGAAATATGTCCATTTATACCAAGCGTTAAATAAGTAAACTAGAAAGGGGCATAAATTCTGCACAAAGTTGTTCAAGTATTTTTTTTTTATTTTCTCAAATAAAGGGTGGGGGAGAGTGGGAAAGTATTTGTGGATAAATACCTATAACTTTGGTTTGATCCAACCGATTTTAATAAAATTAGTGTCATTAGAATGAGTGTGGATGAATTAATTCACATCTACTATAAAATACTTGCATTCAGTTTTCATAGTCGTAGGTAGAGGGGACTTTCAAATAAAAAAAATTAAAATATGTTTTTCTTCAAAATTTTTAATGGAAACACCTATTTATTGTAAATTATAATGAAACTGGAATAAATTCGTAACAAAATGGAGCAATAGCTTTTGTTGAACTCGAGATATGAATAAAAACTCATAAACATAAGTAAGTAGGTATAGTATTGACACACCCTGTATTATAAATTACATTAAAAAATAAGTCAGTAGGTATTTTCAAATTGTTTTATAGCAGAAGAATCTTAATGTTGATACCTATTTTGTAAAAAATAGTTTTTTCGAAACTAAGTAGGCTACGACAATGAATTTGACGGGGAGTTCATATTGTTTATTTATTGACAGCAGTCAAAACGTTGTTAAGAAGTGCTATATTATAATTCGAATTAAAGATTGCACTTTTTTCAATAGATATTAATATTGGTAATATTAGTAATTAATTATCAGTACAAATAATTCGTGATGAGTATATCAAATTGTATGATATGATTGGAGTTTATTTCGAATGTCACCAAAATGCCGCTATTGCCTCACGTATATATTTTATAAGATATCGTGTCAGGAGACATTATGGCAAAGAAGTATTTGAAAGAAAGGCAAAAAGATTAAGAGAAACTGGTAGTTTTTCTCGTCCTTGTTTTAAACGACGTAGTAGAGTTATGACCGAATATAATTCAATCAATGTTCTTGCTTTAATTCAACAGAATCCTCATATGAGTGGTCCGAAATCTCTACTTCTGTGCCACAATATCTCCTGCCAGGATATCTTACAGAATATATACGTGAGGCAATAGCGCCATTTTGGTGATATTCGAAATAAACTCCAATCATATACAATTTGATATACTCATCACGAATTATTAGTACTGATAATTAATTACTAATATTACCAATATTAATATCCATTGAAAAAAATGCAATTTTCAATTCGAATTATAATACATATAACACTTCTTAACAATATTTTGACTGCTGTCAATAAATAAACAATATGAACTCCCTGTCAAATTCATTGTGGTAGCCTACTTAGTTTCGAAAAAACAATTTTTAATCATATGAAATAACAATGGTCAAAATAGGTATCAACATTTAGAGTTTTCTACTATAAAAATTTTTGAAAGTACCTACTGACTTATTTTTTAATTTATTTTATAATACAGGGTGTGTCAATACTATACTTACTTATGTTTATGCGTTTTTGTTCATATCTCGAGTTCGATAAAAGCTATTACCATGCGGTTTACGCCATTTTGTTACGAATTTAATCCAGTTCCATTATAATACAATAAATAAGTGTTTCCATTAAAAATTTTGAAAAAAAACAAATTTTATTTTTTTCTATTCGAAAGTACCCTCTACATACGACAATTAAAACTAAATGCAATTATTTTATAGTAGATGTAAATTAATTTATCCATACTCTTTCTAATGACACTAATTTTGTTAAAATCGGTTGATCCAAACCAAAGTTATAGGTATTTATCCACAAATACTTTCTTACTCTCCCCCACCCTTTATTTGAAAAAATAAAAAAAAGTACTTGAACAATTTTGTGCAGAATTTAGGCCCCTTTCTAGTTTACTTATTTAACACTTGGTATAATTGGACATATTTCCCAAAAAACTGGTTTTCAAAATTTTCTTCGCAGGTTACGCCCCCTAGCGTTTAATCCAGAATCTTGAAAGTTATTTCCAGCGATTTCTCTTGGCCACTTTTACTAAGGAATTTTTTTTCCTAAAGTTATAACATGAATAGTTTCTGATATATAGCCGAGAGATCGGCTTATTGGACCACCCGGTACATTTTGCATTTTTCTTTTAATACTTGTTACGTACTTAAAAAATAAAAAAAACAAACAATAAAAAAATTCATGTTTTAAATTATTTTGAAAACAAAATTTGCAGTTTCATAGGTGATGCGATACTTTTTTGGCGGAGTGTATTATTACTAGATTTTTTTTTGAAAATACACATTTGGTAAAACAAAAGTGACATCAAAATACAGTTTTAGAATATGTTCAATATTTTTTATAATGCTTTTTTATTTTATTACTTTAGGTATAATAACTAATATCTTTTAAAAAATTTCAAACTACTTTTTGATTACTGGAAAAGTAAATATTTCATATTAAGCATATTATCCATATATAAACATATAACCATATTGCTTTGATAGAACACGTTCCAGTTTTTCTTTAAGAATCAACGTAATAATAATAAAATCCCAGCTACTAAAACTTTATGGCTATTGTGGACTAGTAAAAAATGAATTTACCCTAAAATATTCCTGACTGGGTCGTGGAATTCTTGACGGAATGTGTAGAGAGACCTAAAATAAAAATAAATGTTACGTAGAATGTAGGTATAGGTTGAGGAATAATAAAAAATGAGTTACATTAATTTTGATAGATATTTCGATATTGAAATTGCATTCGTCGATAATAATAAATATGACATTAAACGAAAAGCAAAAGCTGTTTTATTTATGAATGATACAAAAGTGCATAAAATATTTATTTGATTACAAATATAAAAAGGGTGATAATGGTTTAGCTGAAGACAAACATACAAGTTAATAATTCAGGTGCACCAACAGCGGAAAATAATGAAGAGGAGATAGAACATTTTTACATGGAGTTAGACACAATTTTTGGATCTACTAAAAAAGAAGACATTACAATAGTACTAGAGACTGTAATGCTAGAGTCAAGAGAGTAAAAGTTGACGAATATGTTGGGGAATTTGGACCAGGTTACAGAAACGGAAGAGGGAATAGACTTGTGGATTTTTGTCAAAATGAACATTTTGCAATAATGAACACAAAGTTTTAGCTACCCGACAGAAGATTATACACTTGGATATCTCCTGCAGACAACAAAGTCTAAAAACTATAATATTGGTCAAAAATAGATACAAAAACTCAATTAAAGCAGTAAAAGCATACCTCGGAGCAGATGTCAACTCAGACCATAACCCGCTAATAGCTAGAGTGCATGTGACACTCAAAAATATTGTAATACCTAAAAATAAACCAACGTTTGATTATACAAAATTAAAAAAAAGATAAATACATCAAAAAATGATCCAATAAGTCAAATCATATCGTACAGAAGTAGGAGAAGAAATCTTAACAAAGGCTGCAGACGAAAATTTAAAGCCCGAAAAGACAAATAAAAAACAGAAGTGGATGACTTCATAAATTCTTGCATCATTGGAAGAGAGGAGAAAATCCAAAGGGAGAAATGAACCATAATATCAAGAACTACAAAGTAGAATTAAAATAAAGATAAAAAAGTCCAAGGAAAAGTGGTTAACAGATTAATGCATAATAATAGAAGAGTATGCCAGAAAATACGACAGCTTTAATATGCATAAAAGAACTAACAAATACCAAAAAGCGAGCACACTATGGGATACTCAAAGATGATAATGGTAAACTCATTGCATACATAAAAGAAAAACTAAGATTTTGGCAAGAATATAGAAACTAGTCGACGATGATAAAATGATACAAGAAAAATTAGGTACAGGAACAAACAGGACTGAAAATAATAATGTGTAAATAGTAATGTGCGAATTAGAACAGTAAATTAGAAATGTAAAGTTCGCAAAATCAGTAGGCCCAAATCAGATACCCATTGAGCTAATTAAATGTATTGACGAAGAAACCATGCATATCTTTTTAAAAGTATACAGGGTGTCCCATAATTAATTGGACATTAGCTAATGGGTGATAGCTGATATTAAAATAAAACGTTTGAGCTCAAATTACTTAGGCAAAATGTTGCTAGTTTTCGTTCTACAGGGTAATTCATTAATATTTTTTTATATTATTTTTAGGGATATATTGAAAACTGTTCAACCGATTTAAGTAAAATTTGGTATCTTGCTATTAATTAGTATGCTTAATATGAAAATGATATTAGCTTTACCGATGCCACTAGGTGGCGC